AACCGTATGCCTCGAATACCCCTTAGACATTGTTTCAGAGGTGTTGTGGAGATAACGAAGCCTGTTTCCGACCAAGGAATGCACCATTCTGTTAATTAGACGAAGAATTCAAGCTACTGATAGCAGTAGAACTGACCTCTCCGAATCTTTGGAATCGTGTCCCTTGTTTGTTGGTGCGATTGGCGTCGATCTCACAATGATAACCGACAAATGTAGGCGGGCAGGTGCATCGTCCATGCATCTCCACCCCTCCAAATCAATACCGTTACAGGTGAATAATACTTTGGTGCAGAAAAAAAACAAAATTTCACCAACCGCCATTGAGGCACACCATGTCTGTGCATTGTTCACCTTGATAGAATGGCAAACAACTACAGTATGTTCGACCGTCGACTCCTAGAATTTGAAGGTAAATTGCCAAAAGAATCCAAAAGTTCGGATTGATAAGAGAATTATAGAAGTGAAAAATAACTAACCTTTCAGAATTTGGCCCTGATCGCAAATTTTGTCACAAGAACTCGCCAAAGTATGGCTCTTGCATGCACAGATCATGCCAAGAGACTGCGATCGGTACCCGTTATTCTGGCAGGGTGCCAACTTTCGACAGTGCTTATCCAGTACATCTGTCACTGTCTCTGTAAAAAACATCAGTGGTTGATAGTTTGGAGCTACGCTACACGTATTCCACGCTGGTCGTATGGGCAGGCTTCCCAATTGAGGCGATCCCCTCTTTAGCCACTCAAAAGAGGGATCCATTAATAAGCAAGGCCCAATGTAATTCAGCACAAGGCCAGGCACCGCCCCTACTACCAGCGTGGAATGAACCAATAAAAAGCCGGATCTGTATTTCCCGACAGCTCTTTATAAATCTCTAATTGACTCACCTGGACACTTGCATCGAACTCCATAGCCGCTAAAACTGAAGTTGAATAGAGCTGTCGCCGACAGCAGGAAGGAACCCTCAAAGATACACGTTTAGCGAAAAGCGAACAAAACCCTGTTAATAGTGTGAGACGCGTACTGTGAAATAAAAAGATAAAGTCTTCGCACACAGGGCACATCGTTGTTGGGGAATCCCCAATAGGGGGGGTCGTATTTGGTCGCCAGGAGGGGGGTCGTATTTGGGCTGAGAAAAATTTATTTTGATAGTTGATTTTTCTCGCTTCATGGACGTTGTAAAGGGGGGGTCGTATTTGATCATTTTTGGGAGGGGGGTCGTATTTACGTTTTGGCGTTGTGGGAGTGGCGGTTGACTTTTTCCTGTTTCACGTACTATATGCCCCCCCCCCCCCCCCGCTCGACGGCTCGATTCGATGAGGAAGGACAGAGGGCTGGGGAGGAGGGGGGAGTCGTACCGACTCCCAAAAAAAAAGGGGGGGGGGTTGTACGGGCTCGACCAAAATCCCCAACTAATGCTGTGCCCTGTTCGCACAAGCCTTTCGCTGGGATGCAGCATGAATTTTGTATTCATTCAAAATCGTAACAATCGTATTGGTGGCCCATACAATGACTTGCGGGGGTTAGCCAATGTATATTTATGTTTCCTTCCATCCTCCCAGACGAATCTAGTACCAACTACCGTGGCCTAGAAGGCTTGGTTGGTCTGGACGGGAGCCGATCCGGGATTTGACCTCCGGATCGCGTGGGTAAGCGTGCTACTCGCCTCTACACCTGCCTCCACTTGGTCAGTATCTCCATGTAATCTTATCACTTGTATTCAATTGAGAACTAAGTTCTGATCCAGCTCCCAGTGAATGAAGGTGCTAGACTGAAGGAGACTCAGATGAGCCGCACCGAGGAAAACCAAAAAATGCACATAAGGGAGGTGTAACAAGTCGTTTTGGATTCAAGGGCCCATCCCATGTAGGTCGCATAGGCACAATCAGCTCTAGTATTGTGTTTTGTTCATCATTCTTTCCGAAACAGTGAAGAGTGAACAAAGAGGAAAGAAAAGTGGTAGGCCCGACCCCGCCCACGCGATTGGAGTGGGCGGGGTCGAGTTTTGTTTTCAGCGGTCTGCTACCGAGGGGCGAACATTCTTATCCACATTCTCTGGGCTCACAAGTCATTGGTTCACATCAGTGAGCACTCAAATATTCCCAGATGTTTTAATTTCGAAAACCGAATTCTTGGCGTATTTCAGAAGAGGGGAATACCTTCGTCCCCTGCTAGTTCCTCAATGACGTCATTTGCCTGACGCATATAAAGTGGAACTAGCAAATTAGCAGAAGACCAGAAACTAACAGCGTAGACGATGAAGAAGGAGGACCCTGGTCCTGGTCATCTAGGCTGTTGGGGCGGTTGAGTAGGCGGTAAGACCCCATGGTCCCCGAGGGGTGGTCCGCTCCTCCTGTTAGGGGGCGCAGGAGGAGTGTAGTGGGCCCGATGAGGCGTCCGACCGACTGACCGGAGTTTGAGTGCGGTGACCGCCGATGCCAATCGCACATACGGGAGTGGTGCACCCGTCCGCGACACCGCGTGATGGACGATATAATCAGACCCGCCCGCGATACGGGGCTGGGCAGGTGGGCAAGGTGGCTTGTAGTACTTTTCGTTGAAATCATACTATACAGAATCATTTCTGTAGTGTGTATTTCGCAATCCCAACCAAAGGGCGATACCCGTCCACCGCGATGAAAGGGAAACGGGCGAGTTGCGAGCGGGAAGAACGCGGAAACGCGTTGAGGACCGTGACCTGACCGCAAGGTTGGGTCAGCGACTTGCTCTTCTGAGCGGTCAACAAAAAAAAACTAACAAACAAAATGGAAAACGAGGGACTAGGGTTGCACTGACAAGGGGATATCGTTCGCCACCCGCTTTGCAATTGACGCGTCATTTTTTGGATACAGCACACGTGGGAATATTTTTATACCAGTCGGATCGCCCGGCTAACGCCGAGCTCTCCTCCTTCTTGGAAGCCCGGCTTCGCCGGGCAAGCAACTGCTTTAGAGCCTCACTTCTTAACTCGTGAAAGAAAGGAACAAAGAGGCATAAGCAGGGCGATACTACTGTCTTAGGCATTTATGATGCTCTCATGGTGCCTAACCGGTGTCTTCTAATCAAATAAATGTAGGAACGCGCCATATAGTCGCAGGGCACTTTTATAATGAAAGTTTGAAATCTGGTCATGGATAATCGATTACTGTCCTCCCCATCTTATGACAGCCACGGATTCTTCGGTCTCCGCAGTCGCTGCGTGCTCCTGTTCAGGCGTCGGTCGCGCCAATATGGTACCCCTTCACCTCACCTATCCCCAAACTAACCTCAGCTATTCCCCGCTCAGCCACCCTACAGGTCACACTCAGCTGCTACGCGAATAGCCCGTGCAATGGTTCTGAGTGCACTAAATGGTTGTGTTATTGTGGAGGGTGTTATGACTATCAAAACGCTACCACAATTTGATAATGCAACATTAATCGGTTCAGTTCCGATTGCGATCCATTTTCTTCTCATCTTATCGCAACGCCTTACCGCCGCAGGCGCTATGTGCTCCTAATCGCGAAATCGCCGTTCTCATCTGGTATCCCCTCACCACATCATATCCCACTGACCCTATTTAACCGGCACCCACCCCGCACGTGGTATGCAGCCGCCATGCAACATAGGGACACTACGCCACTGTTCTTACCACCGCCTTGCTCGTGCTCACGTCCAGCTCCCAAGCGAGCAGCTCCTGCAGTAGCACAGAGTATATCACAGTGGTTGGCTTAGATAGGGGAGCGATTGACAATCCAAACAACTTCTTAGTTCGTTGCTGTAACATGGATTAGCTTGCAGTTTTGCTAGCGGTTCTTTCCTTCTCTCTTGCCGCCTGCTCCTATTCAAGCGTACGCTACGCATCCCCTTACTGTACCCAGTTTGCCCGATTCAATCCATATGCCTCCATCCCCTGCATGGGCTCAGACGACTGAGTACGCGCAAGGGAGTGAGGATGGGAGAAGGGGGTCACTCGATACTAACTCCCACCTTCCTCACCTCACCCCATTCCGTACTCGCCACTCCACCCCCCCCCCCCACCTTGCCCCTTGCACGCGCTTACGTCCAACTGCCACGCGAGCAACCCGTGCAATGGCTCGGAGTGTAGTGGTTTTCTTATATAGTGGAGAGTGTTATCACAACCAAAACAACTTCTTAGTTCGTTACGGTAACATAGATTGGCTTGCAGTTTTGTTAGCGGTTGTTTCCTCATCCCTTGGTGCGCGTTTCTACTGAAACGCGCGCTACCCCCTCACTGTACCCCCTCCCCGCGACCCTCCCCTCTGCCTCCCTCCCATACACGTGCTCAGCTCCGGCTGAGCACGTGCAGGAGAGGGAGGCAGGGCGACCCGGTACCCCCACCCTGCCCCCGCACGAGCACACGTCCAGCTGCCACGCCAGCAGCTCGTGCAATGGCTCGGAGTGTACCGAATGGTTGTCTTATATAGCGGAGGCTGTTATCACAATCAAATCATTGGACTGCTACATCCTCCCAGTCGGTTACCGGTTTGCCTAGCGGTCGTTTTCGCCTCCAGCGAACTCGAACCCGTGAAGTATTTTGCGGACGGACAGACAAACATACATACAAACCTACATACATACAAACATACAAACCGACACACAAAGTTACTGGTTTATAGAATGAAAGGATACCGTTTAGAGAAACTCGTCGTCAAAAACGTCAAAAACTACATTAAAATTCAATGTCAAAGTGAAAAAGAGGAGCTAAGAATCAGGTAGAAATGAGAAACAGTGAAAAAAGGGATTGAATACCGGAAGAAAGAACATAAAGGGAAGCTGGGGTCTGGTACAATTGGAGCACGCTTGTAATTGTAGCGTATTCAGTTACAAACGACAGCGACACTTGTCGCGCTTTGTCACTATGCTGTCACGGGTAGCGACAGTTGTAGCGCGACAATTGCAGCGCGGCAAGTCTGAATGCTGCCTAACGCTCAGCGATGATGAAATCGCGCCATGACCGCGCGCTCGCCCCGCGCGCTCGCAACGGAAGGATGCTCAAGTGCTATTTTGCTGTTTACCTTACGTCTCTACGGCGGCAGGACAACTCGTGCACCACACACATCTCAATCTGTCTCTTATCAGCTTCGATTGGCTGATAGTACATAGCGTGACGAATATCACGGTTGCCGCGTGGTGAATGATATAATCAGACCCGCGCGCGATACGGGGCTGGGCAGGTGGGCAAGGTGGCTTGTAGTACTTTTCGTTGAAATCATACTATACAGAATCATTTCTGTAGTGTGTATTTCGCAATCCCAACCAAAGGGCGATACCCGTCCACCGCGATGAAAGGGAAACGGGCGAGTTGCGAGCGGGAAGAACGCGGAAACGCGTTGAGGACCGTGACCTGACCGCAAGGTTGGGTCAGCGACTTGCTCTTCTGAGCGGTCAACAAAAAAAACTAACTAACAAAGCGAGGAACGATGGACAAGGATTACCCTGATACGG